TTATAACGAAGTAAATGAAAAATTATCTTCCAATAGATATAGTGTTACAAATATATTTTTATAACAACTTTCTAGATATAACGAACTTATTTTCCCATAAGTTGCAACATTGTTTAATGAGGTTTCAGTGCAAACTATTTGTTGGAAAAGACGTGTGACGTGCAGTCTTGTAGAGTCGAGCCCACATATAACAGCCCCACTTAAAACAAACTTTCGCTTAACACGAACAATATCCACGTGACCGTGAAAATAAACAATGGTTCAATGACACAAAATCGCACTTACAACGAACGTCTCAGAGCGCCGCTGATCGGTTACAGCGAACGTAGTCAGCGGTCTGCCGACATCCCGGGAAACCGATTTCAACCACCCATCAGGCATCGGCGAGGTACCAATACATCCTTATTGTGAAACGCCGACCCTGCCTTCGCGACCTTCTAGTTGTCACTCTCCCCAACCCATGGAGGAAAAGAAAGTTGTTTCCTTCCTCCATGCCCTTGTTGCTTTTTGTTACGCACCCCTCTGTCCTTTGTCCCCCCGCTACTCTGAGCACCCCGCATCGCCAGACGAGGCCCGTGTTTTCACACTGCCACCGTTCTTTCAAAGATCGGTCGGCCATCTACCCTGTTTGTGATCGCTGGTACTGTCGTTGGCATCGCCGGCCTGAAGTGACCAGACCATTTGCCAACATCGTCGACCACCAACTATATCCGATAGTCTGCGTCTAGTGCACGCGCGTATGCTACTCCACCGACTCTGATAATTTGCGATTTGTCTGGTGTTGAGGACTTGTTCTCGCTCACTTCACACTCAACTCAGCATGCCTTCCGCCGGTGCACGGAAGTGCGAAAACGGCTGTTAATTTGCACAGAACAAATTGCGAAATATCAAAGTTCGTGAGGCCACGCAAACTCGCCGGCGCAACAAAACAATTTTTTTTACCATGGCCGCCGATTCTTCGAAAACCGCTGCGCGCTCCGATCCAGCTGGCCATGCTTTGACTTTTGCGTGTGCAGGCACTCTTTTCAAGTTTTTCTACATGCGAGTTTCGTGGCCTTTTCAAGCAAGCTACCCAACCTGCCTTCTTCCCATGTGTTTTGGTTTTCAAGGTCGCCCTCCCACCGCATCCTCCCTTCTCTTTATCGCAACTCCTTGCCCTTCTCTTGCAAGTCTGCTCACTTCTCTTGATCACAACCCATTCGCCCGTCTCCACCGCTCCGCGACGCCTGCCAGGCTGGCTCGAACTAGTTTCGTTTTCTGACTGGAAACGGGCCCAGAGCTGTTCCACGCATTCTGGCATGCGTGTCGCGTGTGCGCGTCTTGCTCGCTCTTGGTGTGCGTGTGTGGTCATGATGGCTGACGAAAGAACTAGCACCCTTTTCCCTGCCACTCAATAAAACGCCGAAAGTGTGACCATTTGGCTTGCGCGTAATCCGCGCGTTAGGCGCCGCGTTGCGGGGCGCTTGCTGATAGCTGTTGAGCACCTGGCAGCCAACTTGCCGCTTCAGGCGTCTCGGTATTCAGCTGTGGAGATGGTGAATATTTCGTGGGAGGCGGCAACATTTACATGCGCGCGATACTGTTTTTGCGAGGCCGACTTCGTCGACGTCGGGCCCGATGCCGAGCCCGAAGCTTCCGAACAGGACCATTGCGGTGGCGATTTGTGGCAGCGTGTCGTCGACTCTGACCTGGGAGAGCGGGTGGGACATCTGTTGCGATCGTTTAATTACGGCCGATGATGATGCCGACACTGCGGAGCCGTGCACGGATTGGGGCATTGTGAATGAAGTATGTGGCGAGAGCCATTTGGAAGAATGGGATTGCGAGAACGACGAAATTTTGGAGCTTGTGCCTCACGCAGCTTATGCCACGGGCCTCGGCAAACGAGCACCCTGCCGTTTTAAATGAACTCGAGACCACCCTTATCGCTTCTGCTCTTCGAAACACTTGCACCCCAGACTTTTTGGGGCAAAAAAAGTTTGTGTTTTCAGTCGCAACTTTTTTTAAAAGCTGTGTTTCATTTACTACGAACTTTGGGATACAGCGAACGAATGCCGTGTCACGCTCAGGTTCGTTATAAGCGGGCTCGACTGTATTTAGAAACAAGATGCACTTCACATGTCTAGGCTGCCAGTCTTTTACACTTCGGATAGTTTTCGCAGCCAAACAAAACACATTTGTAGCCTTTTGACCTGTTCTCGTCTGACAATTCAATTATCGGCCGTATAATTGCTTTAGCGCATCGAAAATTTCAAACACGTTGACTTCTCATGCGCCACACAATGCAAAGCGTAGGAACCCACACACACCAGCGGCAGTGGTGGGGCAGCCGGATACGAGGAGGAAAGAGAGAAAGGGAAGAAAATGCACAGATTCAATGCTAGTTTTTATTAAGATGAGATGTGGGCCGAAAATAGGGAGTTTTCTAAAAAATTACAATTTTTTTGTTTTCCCCTATCTTGTCACGATTAGTACCTTTACTGTTCTGCAAAAAAAAAAAAAAATTACGTCGAGACTCGACTGGAACTGCTTTAAAATTGCGTCTAAAGAGCACAAGGTGGCTGTTAAAAGGTCGAAAAAGTGCAGTCTTCGAGCACCTTGCCGCTGATAAATCACCACCGCTCGCTATTGTTGATCGCATGAGGCAGAGCCGAGCCTCACTCTTCAAATAAACAACGGTTTCCCGCACTGCTGCAGTGCAAGAGATAACAAAAAGAAGCACACTTTTGCCGCATTTTTCGAGCAGCGCGACTGGCTTTTAAATCACGTGGTACTGATCGGGGAACGCCATCGGAGACTGCGTGCCTGTGTGCTGTGAGCCCTACTTGCAGGGTCTGTGTCTTGTGGAGCAGCGCAGCTGAACGTTTTTCTAGTGTGTTTATTTCCATTATGAATGAAGAAAGTTGTAACTCGTGCGATAGTTACGCTGTCAACGTGAAAGCTGTTGTGGAATGGGCTACGAGCAGCTGGTACGATTTGCGGCGATTGTTGGCTTGCAAAAGCCAATGCATCTGAATCAAAAGTCATTCACAGCCATCAGCCGGAAAGTCCGTGATGCGGCAATAGATGCCATCTGTGCCTAACTTGTGAGGTCGAAAGCGCTCACAGTTAAAGAAGTTGGCAAGGACGACATTGCCATTATATACAACAGTATGTGGCACAAACGCGGCCACAAGAGCCACAATGACATCAGCACTGTTGTGTCCCTAGACGCCGTACTTTGTTCGGTCTTGAACTTCTGCCTAGCCTGCAGTCAGCACAAGGCTCTGCCAAGTGGAGCGGAATAAGTTTGGCAAGAGTTTCATGGCCCTGTCTGTGAGCGAAATGTCTGTGATGAGTCAGCTCGAAAGTGCCGTGAGGGACAAACATAGGGGCAGTGGCCACTACAAGAAGGATTGTTCTTTTTTGTGTGTAAATTTTATCACATTAAATGAGATGTTTCAAAAACAACATTAAATTTAGGTTCAAAACTCATTTTTCTGAAAACACAAATTTTGCCATTTTTTTCAGTGTGCCCTTCTTTTTCGTGTAATTTTTGTGCTCGGATATGCAATTGCATAGATTAAATTTAAGTATTTTTATTATACACTCAAACCTTGTTATAACAAAGTTGAAGGGGAGCCATAATTATTTCGTTATAACCATTATTTCGTTATATCGATTATAGCAGTTTGTAGCAATGTATGCTCAGATGGGCGCACACCTATAAGCATGCAAAGAAGGAAACTGCCTTGCGGCCCGACGTACTGCTATGCGACCACACGTGCCACGGAAAATGAACACAGTCGAACCTCATTATTTCAAACACGCTTAATTCGAACTCATGCTGACGTCGCGTCAAAGCTATGTGTATTCCAATGGGCTAAAACGCCCTGTAATTCGATCGGGCAAGCACTTGCGACGGTTAATTTGAATATACCGCGCTCCAAAAATGCTTTCAGCACCATGCCCAATCCCACGGCGGCACCTCTCAACCTGCGTGCGAAGTAGGAAAAGAAGAAAAGGAAAGAAAAGACTATGGCGGATTGTTTGCTCTCTCTGGAATGCTGATCTGCGACGCGCCTGTGCCATCCTTCTCCTTTTTCTATCTCTGCACGTAGAGACCCTTCTCCTTTCAGGGCCGCGCACGGAGAGGGAGGAAAAAGAAAGAAAGCTGTCACGGAGAGTCCTCCTTTCTCGGTTCAGAGGGTAGCAGCCATGGTAGCAGCGGAGACGCAGTCGTTGCAGTCTTGAGAGGGAAATCGCTTTGCACTGCGGCGCCGCTTCTCGGTCATGTGACCCGCTGAGCGCTTCCTCAATTCTCTCCGCTGGCTCTGTGAGGAAAACGGCTCTCTAGGTCGCGCGTGGTATGGCTGTAAGGTCGACGCGGTAGTTTCGAAAGAGCGGCGCCGAACGAGCGTCAAACTCGGCAGAAAACGATATACTTAACACACTACAATCAGTTTTTTTTTGATAGCTTATTTGATAGACTAATTTAGTTTGTTATATCAATTTACCGGTCAATTTTACTTCGTTAAAACGAGGTTTAAAATGCATGGTTCTCAATGGAGCTTTCAAGGGGAATTTCATTTACTTTGTTACATCCATTTTCCTTATATCCCGTTACATTATAATGAGGTTTAAGTGTATAAGAAAAAAATATATGCAAACCTTTACTAGGGTAGGACAAATATGGACTGCCACATTAGAATTTTTCACATCTATTACATACTTTTTATGCACTTCCTAATTAGATTTCTGCCTTCTACACTTGATTTAAAAGATTATGCACTATCAACGGTACAAAAATTATGGAATTTTAGTGTTGAAAGAGGGGGCAAGGGGGAAGGCTTAAGGTTCTCATTTTGTCATGTTGCAGAACTAAAAGTTTGCAACTTGCAAGAAAACCAATTATATATTTGAAATAAACAAAGTTTCATTGCTCTAGGGTGAATATTAAAAAAACAGTGTCTTCGAATAGCATCTCCCCTTGAAGAGACTGTCTCAGTTACACAACTTACCTGAAGTCGGAATTTCCACATGGAACCTACAGGCACGTTAGGAAGAGGCCCAAAGTGGTTGGCTGGCACCAAGGTGCACTCTCGCGTGCGTCCCACACAAGCCATGCCACGACCCCAGTCACGTTTGCCTTCACCAACCACCGAGGGCAGCCGAGATTTACGTCGGGATTCCTTCAATGCTTCCCCGGGCTGAACAACCTCTGTTGGATCGTGCTTGCAGTCTGGGCAAAACCTGTGAGACATGGACAGCTCTAGTCATCATGCAGTTCCAATAGGAAACAATCAAGTGCCAGTTTAACAAAGTTAGATTCAAGATTCGTTTATGTATTTTTTGGAAAACATCTTCACTGATCAATAACAAAATTTCTTTTTTTTTTTTTTCCTGACTTAGCGAATCACTGCTGAACTACAATTTAGATTCCCTTCGTAACAGAGTGACTTCACATACAACATGCCTGGACATGATGCAGGTATACAATGTATACAATGAAGCAGATAGAGAAGTACTGTGGTGCTGTATCACTGACAAATAATTTAACAGTCTCTACACTAGAAGCCTTGCATTTTGTGCAAATGGATACTAAGAAACATAAGCTATCAGTTGAGAAAAGCTGCATAAAGCAAGACTTAAAAAGGCACTGACACAAAAATTTTGGTCTTGCATTTTTTTTGCTACTGTATGTTGCTGGAGGCCTGCTAGCCATAACACGGCTCATTGTTTGCTGCCGTGCATGACAGATAATTAATTATAAGCTCCTCATTAACGACCAGTTTCAGTTTTGGCTTGAGAGCTCCAAAAATCGAGCCACTTTGTGCAACTAACACTACCTAGCCTGTGCAACGCTTGACTGCGTCAACACACAAAACCGCAATGCACTTGCACATGGTACGCATCAAGAAGTCTGTTCAAACAGAAAACAGGACAGCAGTGTTCCCAAAGACTAAACTTTCAACATGTGCGCCATGGCCGTGGACTTGCTAGCAGCAGTCGCATAGTAGTCTGCTAAAGCAAACGCAGAAAAAAGAAAAATAACAATAATGATGTCATTATAACTTGCGGTGTTGACTGCAATGTCGTGAAATGAGGGAAGTAGGGAGTCACCATGGGTTAGTTTTGAGGGGGGCGGTGCTCGATCACACATGTGAACTTCATAATCCATGTAAAATACCTTACGAGCTATGTTCGCTGTTGATATTTCACAGATGATATATGCATGTTCATGGAAATTGATCTCACAGGCTGTTTTGGCCGCATAATTTTGTGTCGGTATCCCTTTAAGTAAACCTTTATAGTCAAAGGACTGCTCCTTATCTCACATATAAGAGAATGCTAAAACTCTGAAAATGCTAAAGAAACTACTCTCACTGCCAGCATACATAATGAAAGGATTGTACATTGCACATAAAAAAAATCAACCGACTCTTTGAATAACGATAAGGCGAGCACAGGCAAAAGAAAACGCTCTCATAAGATGCTCATTAAATTATTTTGACATTCTTATTTGACGGCACTGTTCCCTCTAGTAATCTAAGAAGGTATTAACAAAAGCACAGTAAACAAAGCATTAGAGATGCTTTTCTGCACATCTAGACAGGTCCTTGTTAGAAAGAACAATACATGAACATCAGGGTTTGCCAACTTACATTACACCAGTCTCAGCTCAATATGCTGACTCTGAACTCTGTTGTAACACTCACAAGTGGAACTCAAATGCCAAGAATTATGCTGTTCAGCTATTTTTATGCAACACCAGCATAACCACTAGTCCATAATTTCATGCAGTAACATATTTTATAATGCTTATCACATGCATTCGACCTGTGTTCTCCTTTTTTTTAAGGTTACATTAACATGGTGAAGAGTATACTTACACTAGCACTCCATTAAATTGTTACTGCCGAATCTCAGGTTCAACAAAATTACTTTTTTTACATTGTCAATTCTTTTTTTGCCGTGCTGCCATAATATTGAAACATCCTTTAGGCACTTTCTTCATCAAAATAAATTGTTTGGCGACTATGCTTTGCAATAAAGGTCATGTTTCAATGAATTAAAATTTCCATATACAATCAACCCTCGTGACGTAACCGCATTAAGCACACTAGCGGCTAAAACATAGGTAGTTGCAACGAATCCCTGACAGAGTCTCATAAAAGCCTAATGCATTTGTTGACCATAGAGGTTCTCCTATACCGGCTGGTTAGTGCACGCCCTGCGTACAAAAATGTTTTTGTCAGTCATAGTGCCTAGTTCACTGCAACAAGTCCAGAAGTGGCTTCTTTGGGTTCTGCCAGCACAGTGTGGAGTGATGTCCATTCATTCTAGCATCTGCCCACCAATTCAAACAATTTGATGGTCTCCTTCGAGTCCCAATTAACAATCTTTTACCGCATTTCTTTGTTGACAGTGATGGCACGCGTCGGGAGATAGAAATTTGTACTTGAGGGTTAATGTGCCCAATCGTATGTAGTTTGGTGACATTACTTGCCAGGTAGGCATACAATGTTGGCCTAGAACAAACTAATTGCAAATTGTAGTGACTGTTATATGAAGTTTTAACTGTAATGTTTTTCTATTGCATAATGATCTATATCGGTGCAATTGTAAATTTAATTATGATATCCCCAAAATGCTATAAAAATTACTGTAAGCAACAGATATTAAAAGTTTGTACACTAAGTGCAAGCATTATCTGTGAAAATAATCTGAACCTGTCTCGCTTCACGAAAATATTCTTGCTTAGCCTGTTAGGTGGTAGTCTTCAAACTATATGGATACTTCAGCCAGCCATATATTGCAGCTTTAACTTTTATAAGAATAAAATATTACGATTATTATTATACAACTACAGTCTGTGCTCATTACAACGAACCCACGTACAACAGACTTTTGGATACAAGAGACCATTATTCAGCCTAAGTTTGGTCTGTGTAGTAAAGAATGGAGTGACATTCGCTTTTAATGGACCCCAATACAACAGACTATCGACTACAGCGGGCGAAATCAGTGCCTTTTTTTTTTTTTCAAAATTGGGCGCATAAAGCGTACTTTTACCATGTTGACACGAGCTGACAACAGATTTGACCACGCCACTCGCTGCGTATTGAAGTCGTGGAAACATTAAATTACGACTGACAACATTGGTGGCTTTCGGTCAAGCCAAGCCTCTAGCCAAGCTAGGCTGAAAGCACGTTGGTTGCGTTGGTCTTGGCAATAATTCAAGAGTTGCAGCTGAATGAAATGTGGCACAAAGCAATTGCACGATCGCTCAAGAGTGCTCGCCATTCTCTTATCACCAATTACTTTTCGAACTAAGTGTACATAAACAGTTTTTGTTTGTGTTTTGCATTAGACATTCGTCCCTCATTGCAGTAACGTTATGATACATCGCAAACAAAGTTTTGAAAGTAAGCCATTCCGGTGCTTTAAATAGGCGAGTTCCACTGTCAAACTAGAATATTAATGTGAAAGGGCCTTGGTGCTGCCTCTAAAAACAATCAGACCAACTTTGGACCGTCCAGCAAGCCGTGGAGGCTGAGAGGGAGGCAAGAGCACCCAGCGACCCATTGGCAGCCTCGTTTTAAGCTGATATGTCTTTTCATCCGCACAAATAAGAAAGCATTCATTCCAAGTAGACCAACAGAAGTAGCTGAAAAAGCCTGCTAGAAACGCTTTATGACAGGGCTAAGCTTTGCTGCTTCTCAGGGGCCCCATTGCATCCCTGCACCTGCTGTAATGGCACTCACTCATTAATTACAACTTGCACTGTGATTTTGTCAATAACCACTGCTGGTGATTGAACTCTTTTGAAACCATATTGTCGAATGCATATAGCATGTACCAGCGGAAGTAGCCTGCCTCATACTGCTGAGCGAAATAGAAACAATTGTCACACGGCGGCGCAACTCCCTCCCCCCTTCAGTTTTCTTGTATATTACAAACTTCATATATAACACACTTGGATTTTTGTAGTCCTTTGTAACAAGAGTAGACTGCATTACTGTATCCTTCAACTGGCTTAAAACTTAAGTTGTTAGTAGCGATGAAATAATGCAATTTTCTCATAAAGACCTCAAACATATACTTTCCTTCTTGGCTTTTTGTTCAAGCAATGCCTAGTTGATATGTGCTCAGAGATGTTCATCGTCAGTGGGCTTAACTGTATATTTGTAAATTCAGCCGCTCCTACATTGGTCAGAAAGGACAACATCGAGTAGACAAAAAGAAATGGAAGCACGCTGTAAATAAAAGATGACATATCCTTTCCAGCACATACCAGTCTTCTTCCTCAGGCAGGTCTTTTAAAGGTGGCTCCAGGCAGTCCAAGTGAAAAGCCCGGTCACATTCGTCGCAAAGTAGCTGCCGCTCAGGCTCTTTTTTACTTCCACATCGACAGCACGCACAGTGACGGCAGCGGCGTTCTGGCTGGTCACCACAATGTATGCATTCAGGCTGCCGTCGACCTGGACAACAAAACAGAATAAACAGTTGTACAAGCGAAACTATACAATAGATGACATATTTATTAGCTGACCAATGATTAATGCTGTTGCTTTGCAACCTTTGCAGCAAAGTCATAAATGCAGTGATGCCACCGAGCTCATCCGATTTGGAGCAATTTTCGGAGCAGAAAAATTTCTCACTTGGAGCACTTTGGAGCAGCAAAATTTTCTATTTTGGAGCACTTTGAAGCAGAAAAAATTTCAATTTTGGAGCAATCTGGAGCAACTACTTCAAACCCCAGAGGAGAAGCAAGTTACATTTACATTCAAAGACATGAAAAATTATTCTGATGCTCTTGAGAAGAGCTACAAATATTTAGATTCATTGCAAATTTCATGGAGCCTCATCTTACTCCCGTATTCAGAAACGCTGCTTGACTTGAACTTGACCTGCCACCGACTTCAATGTAACACAAACGCGTTTTGAATGCGCCGTCTTTAGGTGGTGCCAAGGTAGCACAAACGCACAGACACATTTCAAATGAGCTGCATTGAAGGCGGTTTCAGGTCAAGTTCAAGTCGAGGAGTGTTTATAAATATGGGGGTGAGAAGCACTCCCTATTTCAGTTGATGATGCAAGAATAATGGCGTCATGCTGTAGATAATTCTGTAAAAACTTAATCAGTGATTAAAAAGAATACTGGTTGACTAAAGTTGTACTCCATGAAATAACAATATAAATACACCTGAGTGGTTATCAGCAGATATGGTAGACAAACGCTGTGACGTACAACGCTAGAGACTCTCACAGTCCCAAGTGAATTTCCCTAAGATGACTTCAAAAATGAAAAAAAGGTTCTTTTTCTTTTTGACTGATTAGACTGCTGGGCGTAATATGATGTCATTCAGCTAGTCTCAGAAAGCCGACCTCCTCCGACACCCATCTCTGAACTGAAACTACACAATTTAACAAACTTCATTTTCTTTTTGCAGCAATATTTTATATGGCTAGGGTGTTCTGTCCGTACTCCGAACCCCCCCCCCCCCCCATGTCCTCCAGAAAGCAGTGCATAAAAAAAAAATCTTACAGGGTACCAACGCATACCAACACGAAAGCAAGATCTATTTTCTTTATAATGGGATAGCAATTATTTCGACATTCTCGACTGGTTTTTGCCGTTACCAGGAGTGTAGCCAGAATTTTTTTAAACATTGGGGGGAGGGGAAAGCAGGTAATTTTTCGCTATATATGCCATGGCGAAAAAAAATATCGGGAGTGAAGGAAAGCAAGTTGCCGATGTGCCCCCCCCCCCCCCCCCATGGCTACGCCACTGGCCGCCATGTTTAGTGTATTGTTCTAATCGGTAACATCCCCCGGTGCACCGTGTTTTACACGCGGGTAAAAGTGCGCGAGCGGGGGCGACGAATGTAGCTAAAGCAGAGATAAGAGAGCCGACCTATCTTCCTTGCAGTGATGGCGGATGCGATAACATCAACCCTCGTGACGGGCCTCCCATCGATTGTTATTCAAGCAGAGAGGAACGCACCGCCCGTGTTCAAGAGACAGAAAGAATCGAGCTAGGAACACAAGGGGGGCGTTGTTATGAACTTTGTCTTTAAGGGTCTGATTGCTAGCGCACGCACTATTTACGGCTGATATACAAGTGCTTCGCTTTCTAGAGCGGCACTCAGCCTTGATCACAAGGCGGCCACACCATTGTTGCGCCATTTCGGAGGTACATTTGTACGTGCCTTTCATGCTGTACAGATAGAATCACACTGGTCTAGAGCAGCGGAGTGCATATCTGTCGACAGTTTTGTTGGCCACGGCTTCTCTTTCAGATTAACTGCAAGCTTTCGTTGATTATAGTACAGCACAAAGGCTTAACACACGGTACGACCATGTTTGGCAACATAACGGCCTCTCTCTTTACTTATTTCTGAAAAAAAAAAAAAAAAAAAAAAAACGCCAGCTGGAGCGGTCAGCTGAGTGCTCTAGGCAAGTCTGATTTCATCTGTATGTGCATCGGCGTGCAAAAGGTGTTTCGGGGGTCTCTAGTCACCCAAGTCGTGAATATCCAACACCGCGCATGCAGCAAGTTTCTGAGTGTGCGCGGACCTGGAAATGGCAACCTCGCCACTAGCGCTTCTCATAAATGATGTCAAGCCTTATCATTTGGTATAACAATACAATTTGTTGGTATCGCATTTATTGCTAAGAGCGTAAGCGAAACTATCAAATTGTATCTTTTAGATCTGATATCGCGTAACTCAAAAGAACGCTGGCTAAAGGGACAATGATCACTCTAGTTGCCGAAGCTTTCATGCTGTCAGTTATCTAAACGCGAAGAAGATGTTCATAGCACAAAAAGTTCACGAGTAGTCTCATTATGCCTCGAGATAATGTGCGCCAGCTACTTCAAGCAACGCAGCAGCCTCCCCTCCACCACTCCCTTCAAACAAGCAATAGATGTGATGCCGTATTCATTTCTTTTTAAACCGTCAGCTATTTACTCCTGGAAAGCGAGGGCGGAAGTGTAACAAGGCGTAGCCGCTTCACAGGCCTTCCAATACCAGAGCCGTCAGCGATGGCCTCATGGCTGCACGTATTAAAGGGCCAGTAAATAGCCCAGAGTTTTCAAAAATTTTTAAAAGAGATATATGTGCAGTTTTTCTTTGCGAACATGCTGCCGCAAGAATTTCGTCGAATACGTGTACATTAATAAGTTACAGGGGTTATAACATCGGTCTAAGCTGGTTTCAAAATTTTCCATGATAGGGGAAGGTGTAGCCTATCATCGTGACTCCGCCCACTTCGGCAACGTGACAACCACGTCAGCGATTGATATCATCGGCGAACTCGGTTTGTCGCAACGCACTTCCGCTCGCTGCGAGCGTGGTTGTTTGTTTACCATTTGCCGCACCAGCCGCTGGTCAACCGTGTAAGCGTCAGGTATGAAGTGTCCGACCCCAATCGATCAGGTCCCCTATGTACGTCACTGGATGGCCGACTCGCTTCAGCCATGCAGCGCGCAGGGCCCCATCGCGAGGCACACGGTGACTATGCTTCTCCGCTGCCCAGTCACTCCATTTGCAGCCGACGTCAGAGCAACACTTTTTACCCGTGTTGCTCAGGTCAAGCATGAAGTACGTTCGTATGTGCGCACAGGCGCTGTAGTTGAGCGAGGAGTGTACACGTGCATGCGACAACTGCGAGGCTGGTTCTTTCACTGCAGTGCCAAGAAACAAGGGGCAGCTTCGTAGCTGTGGGTGGGAACAGGAACCGACGTTGACTTCACTACTGTTTTTGCGCACCTGATTTAGTAGATTAATCAGCGAGCTGCGTGCTACATCACGTCGCCGATCTGACGTCACTGCGCATGCAAGGGGGTCGGTCAGGCGTAGGAAAGATGCACGGGAATGGCTTTTCGAAATAGAGGCTCTGCGCCGCGCACAGCGTAATAATCAGAAAACGTGATCGCTGCGGTCTAATCCACGAATTGCCGAGCTTTGTATGGGGGGTGTAAAAAAAAAAGTCAAAGCCTTTTTACTGGCCCTTTAAAACCGAATCGCGGCTGCTCCGACCAGGAAACATGCTTTTATAAGTGAGATGACATTTAAAAAAAGGGCACACGAGAATTTCGAGAACCGGCGCATTCAGCATGGTATGACCGATGGCCACGCGAAAATTTTCAATTCGGACCCTAGCAACCTTGAGTTCGAAAGGGTAGGGTATTTTAGGAGCTTTTACCGCCACAGTGATTATAAACGTGGATGTGCTGGTGGAAGCAATCACGAAACAGCTCTTCTACATGATGATCCATGAATAAAGTATATTAGAGGAAAGGTATCAACACACTCCCCTATTTACGTGTTCTTCTGCGGACGCGAAGCGCGAAAAATTAGATAGCGATGTTCAGACATAGATGTGACAAATATTCTGGAGGCACGCGTGCAGTTATTAGTGAAAATTGCTTTATTACATGCCAGGCAATTCGTCAAATGAATTATCAGCAGTGTTCCTGGAACGGACAACGTCCGCCGATGAATCGTCGTCACAGTTTCACAATACCGATTAAACTAGACGTCACAAGCCCCTGCGGAGAGCGCGTTTCGCCATTAGGCAGACTTGCACAGCAAAGTTGCGTCTGCACCAAACATAGCATTGTGAATTCTAGGATGCACGCGCGACCGCTGTTTATTCAGCGCAATAAAATAGGTATGTGATTGTGACTTGTGTGGCCCCAAAAAACAAGGTGCACATGCTATTGAATCGCTGGCGTGGCTATTGCGGGTGATACACATTCCCGAATCCGTCCTTGGTGCAGTTTGGTGCAATTTCCATTGATATTATCAGAACGGCGCAGTAAATCTGACTTGGCGCACTTTGGCGCAGGAGTGGGATCCCTGTAAACGTGAATGTGCAAATTCCCCAGAGGCTCTCAAACACTTTCCAGGCCACCTTTTTTGGTCTAGTAGACGGCAAGACTAATTGCTACGGACAAAATTGCACCAAGAAAAGCAGTGATAGATGTACACAGCCCCAAGTCACTCAGCTGAGAAGATACAAAATACAAGAAAAATCTATACATACGCTTAACTTTTAAGTTTGCATGGTCACTCAGTGTGGTCTTCTATCACTATTTCTTTCACCTGCTCATAAAAGCCCTTGTTACCAACAGTAAGAGCTCGAAATGCTTACGTAAAGGAAGTTAGCACAACATAGTAGCTGTGTGCTGATGACAATGTTACTATGGCAATAAATAACATGGAGTTGCACTCTAATAAAAAAGTGCAGCAGTAATAATGTGCCAAGATGAGAAATTTTCGCTGCTAGAAGAGGCGTCACAAGTGTACCACTTATTAAACGAAGCAGTGCAGCTGCTCACAAGTTAACACAAGCAAGAAGCTTCCAAGATACACTATTCATGTGTAGTATAACACGGCAGCTTGGGTAAGTTGGAGTCAGTTCATACTTCAATGTAATAGTACACCAGAAATAAATAATGGACTAAAAGGCAATAAACCCAGGCAAAAATACCTTGCTGGCCTTATTATATGCTTGTTTGTATCTAGTATGCAATAGCGTGAATAGCCAGGAACCCAGTGTAACATGTAATAAGATCAATGTACTCATCCTTCGTGTTTGCCAAGACATCATATCTTCGTCGCTATTGTGATACTTACGTATAGCAGGGGAATGCTCGAAATTTTGACGGTCTGCAGCATTCATAGCTGGATGCGGTTCTATGGCAAAAAGTTCATCACAGAACATGAGACGACAGTTTTCCAAAGGTGTCTGTGATGTCCTGCAGTAAAACAGAGTGCAAAAGCAACAAAAGCAACCTGTAGGCCTTTCTTTGAAACAGGATAGCACCAAAAAAATTGTGCACAAGTCCCTGCACGTTCTGTTAGTGCCTGCAGTTATAATGTTGGTGTAATTTAGCATTAAGCTTTTAAAACCAAAATATATCAAAAGTACAATAGAGGTTTTTTAGGGAACACACTTGGTAAAACTCCTCAGTTTCAGTAAACCAAGCAAACGTACCATCATTAAAACATACATGTGGCAAACCAGACCGCAGGCTAGCACAATTTCGAGAAGGACAATCCAAAACATAAGTGGAATTGTACTCCTGAACACCGTGTACTTAAGATTGGGGCATTAGCACACTGTGGTAGGACCTCTCCTGTGGTGCCAAGTGCTGTCAATCGACAATGATGCCTGTGGTTTCTTTGGCATTTCTGTGCATGTCTGTAATGCCCTTTCCACCGTGAAGAAATGCCAAACTCTCACAACAATGTGTGACTGAAGTATTCATTTTTACTCAGCAAGAACTCAATGGAAACTGTTGAGATGATGGAAACAGCTTAAAAAATAAAAATGCTCTCACTAGGGCACCAGTGCATGATTGATTGCTGTGTTTAAGAGGGACGAAATGATTACTGAAGATCAGCCATGTTCAGGTCATTCTTCAAGAGCACATACGAAAGACAACATCGCCAATATTCATGATCTCATCAAAAAACATCGATGCAGAACAACAGACCTACTTGAGGGCTTATTTGGTTTACTGTGGAGCTCTCTTTTCAGCACTTTCTGCATGAAAATTTGGGAATGCTACGAGTGACTGCCAAGTTTCTACCCAAACTTCTAAACAAAGAACAAATATATCTCCACACAGCAGACTGCTGTGTAATGAAGGATACAATCACGGACGATCCAGAGCTTTTCAACAAAATCATCACAGCAAAAGTGCCACGAGCATGATCCAGAAAGTCAATAAAAAGCATCTCCCTTGCCTTGTCCAAAAACTCATCAGGTTAAATCAAAGTTGAAGACGACGCTGACCTGCATTTTTGACATGAAACAGGCCATACCCTCAAAATTCATCCCTCAAAACCAGATAATCAACCAACAATTCTATTTGAACGTTTTCACATCACTATGCAAAATGTGCTTGAAATAGTATAATCAACCAAAAGTTCTATTTCAACGTCTTCACATCACTATGCAAAGTGTGCTCAAAATAGTTTTTGACCTCGTGGAATTCTATCTAACTTTCTGTCCACCTAACTTTGTCTCCTCTTCGTGCATTTGCCTTTATTGAAGATTGTGGTTATAAAAGGGAAAAGAAGAGAAAAGTGAGCCCCGTAACTGTCTGCATCAGCGTGCGACACCTCAACAGTAGCTCACAAGGGATTGGGGTGAAGAGGGATTAAAAAGGATAGAATTAAAGGTACAGAGAGAAATAGAGATGCGCTAGCACAGCGAGCGACGACATATGAGAAATAGGAGAGATAGGAAAGATGGAAACACGTTCACAGGAGTCCGAGGACGGGGCACCACTTGGGAGAGCTCTTGTCGGCGACAGGAGATGGCGTAGGGCTAATCCAGTTGGCCAGAGCTGCGCTGACGTCATCGTAGGGGACTGGCGGCAAGAAGTGGCGTAGGACCAACCAAGTCAGCCAGAGCTGCGCTATCGTCGGAGATCGCGAGGGCACAACCCGTCGTCACGGAATCCAGTCAGTTACATTTAATCACCAACAGTTACCTTGCCTGTCTGCTACAACTGCCTATCTGATAAAGAGAGAGAGAGAAAAGGAAGGCTGGAAGATTGACCAGATATTGGCATCAGGCTTGCTACCCAGCACTGGTGGGGGGAAAGAGGGTGTAGAGAGAGAGAGAGGGAGGAAAAATGCACGTGCACACATGAGAAAACAAAAATGCACACTGGAACGATGTTCTGGCCACAACTGTTCAGAAAGGCTGGTCGATCACAAAAAGCGCAGTAGCGCTTGCTCGGCCATTTTCTGCGACATTGCATCCTCTCAATATTGTGAAGTTCTTTCCTCCGACAGAAGTTGATTATCTAATTTGGTGAGTTCTTTGCAAAGGCATAGTCCAGTGTCCTGTCTAGAGACTGTACCTCCGACTTCCATTGCACACTCTTTGATTATTCTAGTTAGATTATCGTTCATTGTGTCAATGCTAATGACGGTTACCTCATTTAGATCTGCAAATCTATTCTGAAGCAAAACTCTCAATTACTGTCCTTTCCCTTTCACTGCTAGCTCATTAATTACTTCTTGCAAATCCATTCACGCCTTCGCTTTTTTTAAATCTAGGTGAATTGAAGCTTATACCATTCTATAGTCACTGCATCAGATCTCGCCAACTACTTCTACATTCTATGCAATGCCTGGGTGTGCACACAAAATGAAGTCTACTTAATTTTTAGTTTCGCCATTAGGCCTTCACCACATCCTGTTACGGTCAGCCCGGTTTCTGCAGAAGGTAACCGAGATCCACACTGCGAACTCTACTAATCGCACCCCTCTGGAATTTCTAGAGCCGATGTCATACACCCCCACTGCATAGTCTCTGTCCTATTTCTTGCTTACTTTGGCATCAAAGTTGCCCATCAGTATAGTATACTGCGTCTTTACTTCATTAATTGCTGACTCTACGTCTTCATAGAAGTGTTCAACCAAATGACCATCATGGCTCGATGGAGGCACGTATGCCTGTACCACCTTCATCTTGTACCTTTTGTTAAACTTAATTATGATACTTGCACCCTCTTCTCACTAATGCTATAGCATTCCTCTATGTTGCTAACAATATTCTTGTGTATAAGAACTGCCCCCCCCCCCCACCTTGTATTGTCTGTCAACTAATCCAGGGTAGCACAGGACGTATCCTTCGGCACTGCATAAGCCTCACGTGTCCTCCTAACTTACTGAGCCCTATTACATCTCATTTAACACCCTCTAATTACTCAAATAACACAGCTAGACTATCCTCATTAGATATCGTTCTAGCATTAAACGTAGCCAAGTCAAAATTCCAATGGCAGCCTGTCCTGACCCAGATATTCTTAGCATTCTCTGCTGTGTCGCAGGTTCGACCGCCGCATTGGACAGTTGCTTCGCAGCCGCTAAGGACTGAGAGTCAAGGTCAAGCGTTAATTACTGCATTCGTGGAACGTAGTGGCCAAGTACTGCACCAGGGTGGCCAATCCTGCTCTGTTGAGGGAGTGCATTACCAGCAAATGGTTGCGAGTAAGGCCACACCCAAGACCCCGCCCCCCCTTTTAACGATTCCTTCATCACGCGTGTTAAGTATATATACAATTGGAAATGGTCTGGCATCAGCATTCAAACTGAATTTTGTCATTGCATGCTAGGCTGCTGTGCTATCTCTAAGTAGGAAGTTCTGTTGCCCTTTCTTAGCACTGTAGAACACCACTTGACCACCTATCACTTCTCAACTTCACATTAATCATAGCTGGACTGGCCTTCTGTTTGAAGTTCCATATTTATTTTAAAAAAGAAAAGCTGGCGTGGCTTCAAACTTCTGACCTTGCGAGCTTAGGCCTGCTTAGTGCTCTAAATGACCTTCTGTCTCATGCATCTATTCTCTCCTAACTTCTTCATGTCTCGCTCAATTTGGACATTGTTGAATTCAATGTGTCCGCAATGTCGAAGTTTCATTGAGACTACCTTGATCTATATGCCTTATTCACCATATCTGACAACCATGGACTTCTTCCTTCGGTTGTTCAGATAAAAAGGGACTTGAAAGGCAAGCATTTTGCTGATGTTGATGAAGTCGAACGTAATGTCACAACAGTGCGAACATGTATTCAAGAAGCTAAATTTGCGAAGTACCGCCAACAATAGAATGAACACTAGGACAAGTGCACTGAAGGAGTACTGGCACAAAATTTCGAGGCTAAGATAGCCTACAAAATTGATTCCCATAAACATACAGTAGTGAGGACGAGTGGCCATACATTATCTACCATATCTCAACAGCAAATTAAGCTTGAATGTAACTGATATGAATATCGAAGTTCCCATGTGCAATCCAATGCTACACAGTGCACCTCGCATCATCGACATCATCGAATGTAAGCTGAAGGTGACCCCTTACTTTCGAGACATCACAACTACAGGCGAGCTTTGGGATGGTGCAAACACCACCTGCTGGCAGAGCTGGTAATTATGCCTTCACAATCGCCAATATTCTTTTTCCCCGCTTGCATCAGCAGGCCACTATGACTACGGTGACTGTGTGGACAGTATAGAGGCCACAAGAAAGTCATTACAACCAGACAACAATGACGACGACAATGACGATGACGATGACATTGCACAGCACATATGGCAGGCAGTGCAAAAGTGCATCCAATTTCTGTGTCTTATCACAAACTAGATGGCGTCAGTTGCATACGACAGCTTGTTTTCTCGGAGCTTTCCTAAACCAGAACTGAGCCTGGTCAGCAACACAGACTGTAATTAATCACCCGTCGCACGCTGCAGCAAGCAATGTGTCATGTTGTGACTGCCCCTATCAACATATTGTATCAAAAAACCTTAAACCAAAACTTTTGTGTCAGTGCCCGTTAAATATTAATGAATAGCACTATGAAAACAATTAAGGTTGTTTTTGAGAAGAAAAAAAAAAGAAAGAATGCTGAGCTTAAAAACAAAGAATCAAAGTTCATGTTTTTCCTTGGAAAAAATCCAATTATTCTTGTGTTTCTGCTCATACATCTGTTCAACCAATGCTCTTTACTGGCATTATATATGCATGTAGTACTATGGTTAGCAGTACGAGCGGGAACCCATGAGCACGTGGCAAACCTCAAACACAACATAAGGCGATTCACGGCAGCCACTGTTCGAAACAAGGAGGAATGGACATTGCCTTCCTGCTAAATGTTGGCATGCCCGCCTTGCTATTGATGACATAAATCAGCAACTAATTGCAAATCCCAGGCTGCTCGCAATATATGGTGCGTATTCAAAGCAGAGCATGGCAGAGTGTTGTGTATAGCTCCACACAAGATATCACCACTTTCCCATTCACTTGTGTGTGCGTGTAACTCATAAAATCAAGGTACAGTAGACTTGTTAAACAAAACCTGAAGGAACCAGAAAATATGTTCTGCTTCATAGAAGTTCTGTTTACTGAGAAATGAACAGGGGTGCAGAATTTAAACATGCAACCAATCATATTAGAGACAGTTGTCCCACACAGATCGCAATTCCATTTAAGAGATTTTTGTTCCCTGTGACTCTAGAGCACAGCCAAATGTGATATATTAAGGAAAATATTGCCCTCGCCACGTGTGAGTACTACAACGGGCACAGCAATATCAAGCTGTACATTTGATGCACCCTACAAACAGACTCATGCTGAGATTGACAGCAGTTCATGGAAAAGCATCATGCTTTCCACTTTATTTCTTTACAGCATCATGCAAACATCAGTCGAATAAAGACTCAGATTATTCACTACACGCTCACATGTTCCCTCCTATATTGCTCACGATAGTATAATACCAGTAACAAAATATCCCAGTAATGAATTCAAAGAGGTATGAACAATAATCTGTTTGTTTGTCCTACTTATATTCCTTAAAAGGCAAAATCACTCCAAGAAAAAGTACAAAACTTGCTTTTTTTCAAAAGTAACTGCCAGCAACAGAAGAACTGTCCTATAACACTGTCATGCACATTAATTAGTAAAAGTAGAATGAAAACACACAAACGAGCCATCACTTACCCAATATATATGGTGGCCCACAGTTCTTTCTCGGTGCTAGTTGATTTCTTTGAGGTCACAATGCAGTCATACCAGAAGCCTAAGTTCGATGGCTCTTCAACATTGAAATTGACCATAAGTCGATCCCCAACGCTTACATCTGCAAATGGGATCACCTTCTTGGCTCGTGGTCGGACACAGCTCAGACTTAATGCAGCCACTTCATCTTCATAGCTGTGTACAAATGTTTTCAGAAACAGAATCATTAGTATACATCTTTGGCAATAAAACTGCATAGCTAGACCTATGATCACTGCAAAATCATTGTAAAAACACAGATTACTTTAACCTAATATATGACAAACATTGTGCAGGGGCCTTCTCTACTGCCAACAAAATATATGCTAAACTTCACAGGATTCACGGACTCAGGGATGCATTGATATAGGTTTCACAGGAAATTATTAAAACACTGCTATTCAGCGAATGAATATTTTCAAGGCTAAATATCAAAGAAACATAACAGTAAGTAGTCCTTCTTGTAGTCCAATATAAAAGCCAAGATAAACAGATTTCTGGTGGTTATGTGTACAGCACTTTCTCAGTAAACTGAAATCTCCAAATGCAATGGCTTCTAACATGATTCTAACTGCCTCTAACATGATTCTTTTCATGCTTTAATTCTAAATCCCTGTTCACTTCTCAGTAAATGAAACTCTTGTTAATGGGCCAGTAAACAGGCTCAGACATTTTTTCACACCCTCCAAACAAGCTTGCAAATACGTACGGTAGACCACGGCGATCACATTTTCCAAATATTACGGCGCTGCATGCCGTACAGACCCATTTCGAAAAACTATTCCCGCACCTTTTACCTTCGCGTGACCAATCCCCCTCGTATACGCAGTGACACAAACTTGCCCTTGGGAAACTTAACGTACCACTAAGCTTGTCGACTGGCCTTTCCAGTACGAAACTGCACCTTGCAGTGGCCATGCGGTGATGCAGTTTTGCTCGCGCAGTGCGCATCCTCATTTTCCTGTGCTACCCTGTGCCATTCTGTAGAGCGCGAGACTACCAGGAGAAGTGGTATTGCCAGAACAAAAGCCTCCAAAATAAAGAGGCGTCTCGCTACTTTAGCACTAAAAGAAGGTGCTCCTCACACCACACTTCCTCCCCATGTTGCTGACCCATGCTCATGTCGGGGAAGCCCAGCTTGGTCGTTGGCTGTGCGCTGATGATGTATTGCTGATGTCGTGACACATTGGTGAAACGCATAGAGCCATGACAATCAGTTATGTTTTCTCTTCTTATGGCGGAGAGGGGTCGCGAGGCCCCGCAAAAATTTGAAACCAGCTAAAATGGATGTTATAACCACTGTAGCTTTCTTATTATCGCACATATTCACAAAATTCTTGTGGTAGCATGTTCACATAGCAAAAGTGCAAATATTTCTCTTCATTACAGTTTTTGGACAGGACATCTGGGTTGTTAACTGGCGCTTTAAACCGAACATATTTTTCAGGTCCTTTAAGGTTCCATTTACTGAAATTATATGCACAAGATAAATGGAAAAAGGCACAGTCATGTAAAAACAATAAAATAATGATGATGATGATGAAACCTTTATTTGGGTCCAGAGAAGACGCAGGGGAATTACCTAGACAGTGCTCACAACAGTTCACTAACTGTTTGCATTTTATTATGTTAAGCATGGCATGAACAGATCCTCCCCAATCCATGTTTGGAAGGCTTCATGTACATTTGTCAAGCATCTTAAGAGAGCAATTAAACTATTAGAGAGAGATGGCCGAGTCATTAGCATTTTAATTTTGCAAACTCAATAACTTGCATTATGAGAAACCATACTTTGGGATAGTAAAAGCACTATCTAAAAAACTGATCCTATGAAAGTCTCCCAAATTCCTGTGAAAGAATGTAGAGGCTGTCTAGGAGGCCCTATGCTAATACAGTTGAACCCCTTTATGAGAAACACCAATCGGGTAGCAATTTTTGTTTTATATGAGGTGTCTCGTATGAACAAAGTACTACGTATGCATTTTCTTATCAATCTCTATTTCAATGTAAGCACACAGGTGTCCCTTATACCCATTTGTATCTTACATCAGTGTCTCTTATAAAGGGGTTTGACTGTACGCATCATTTTGCTTAGATGTATAAACATCAGTCCTTTCTGTCAAAGCTAATTTAATGGACACTAATGACAAAAATACATCTAAAATGTTGTGACAAATCCCCGACCTAGAATACCAAAAATGGCTTCTTGCTGCGGGCAAAGTCTCAGTAAACCAAAAAGACACAAACAATAAATAAGTGATGTCCCTGTCTTCAAGTTCACACAATAGCTCACCGTGGCATCATGGACTCTGTAGATTCTTACAGCAGAGCTGTTATAGTCGAGCTATGTCCGTCCACAGCATTGTCGTTCACAGCATAGCCAAGCCAGGGGAGGGGGCAAGTGCATAGCAAGAGGGAAAGCAGTAAAGCAATGGAATGTCAAGGCAAGGAACAAGTGAAGCCAAGGGGGGGGAAATGAATGGGAAGCAAAGGTGAGGAGGTAGGAAGAAAGTAAAGCATAGTAAAGTGGTGTAAGACTTGCATCACTGAGGCTTTCCCTCAACTCCGCTGTCCATTGGTGTTAACAATAGCAAAGCCACGCCTAGAATTTCTCACCACATCTATTCAGATCTAGTGAACTTTTTACCTGTAAATCTTGACTATGTTTCATTTTGAAAGACTCAAAGAATGAACTTTGCAACTATTGATGCACACCAGCTAAAATACAAAAGAAAAGGGTAATTTGAAATCCTCAACACATGGTTGCACAATACTAGGATGCCAGTTCTTGCATGAAATTCAAACAATGCAACCTCTGAATTTAGTTTTTTTTATAACTAGAACATGAATCCATATAGTGGTTCTTAACCGCTTAACTATATAATTATATCAGATATCTTTCCTCAAAGTGAATACTGTTTTTGAAGTGAATACTCAATAACTTATTTCTATAAACCAAGTTTCCAAAGGGGCCCTGAGGCACAAATTGAGCATACCATTTTGATCGCCTTTTCTGGAACTTGGGAATGCACCGATGCCATTGCACATGTTACAGCGTGAAAAACAAGGTACTTATAATTTTATTTCAATGGAGAAACCACATCATTTTCAAACTAAAGCAAACACACAAAGGCTGTTTTGTGACTGGAAGTGATGCTTTATCACATGGGAGTGATGACATTGCTTGGTAGTTTCGATGGGTTGGATGTGACATGTAATACTCATATGGTCCCAGCTAGGCAACGCTATAATGCGCTAAAAAATATAAAAGCACTACATACTTCCTCAGATACAAAAAGATTTGTTTTAAATATGAAACCTTGAAAACAATTCCAGGCCAATGCTAGGACACTGCACAACTGCCATCACTAGGAGAGTCTACTGGTATGGATGTTTAGGGCGCACCCGGTGATAGAAACGGATTTTGACGTCAGCGGGAGAACAAAATACGAAAAAGAAAATTTCTTGGCGTCTCCTACTGTGTTTTGAGCTTTGAAGACTAATATTATCAGTTTTAGTGCACCGATATCCATATTTCTGTTTGCATTCGTCCCAGCATATATAACCACACGCATTTTAGTGCTAAATAAGGCAGTCGCGATATCGTTGCAGGACCCCTTCAACGTTGAAAGAAAAAAAAAATCGAAGCACATGCCAAGTCAAATAAGCATAATGAAACTTATTGTTGTTCATGGGAAAAAGCTTGCTCCTTGAGAGTATTCAGCAAAGAAAACAGAAGAGCACTGTTCAAAAATTATCAGCATTTTGGGAGAGGTTTAACGATTCTGACAATATTGATGATGATGTATGGTGTTTTATAGCGCGAGGGCCATTTGACGGCCAAAGAGCCATAAACAGGTCATGGGACAAAAGATGTGAATGATATAGTAAGTGGCTGTATAAGGGCCTCAAAATTTTGGACACTAACGTGCATAAAAGATATAAGCATTAAAATCTTGAGATTGACGTAAATTCTGTGCCGTGAGAAAGAATGTCAAGTGACACCAACCTATGTGTCGTCTCCGCTAGGCACCAGTTTCAATACACATGCTGTCAAAAAATATTTTTGTGCAACAGTGAATCGGAAAAAAAGAGGGGGGGGGGGGGTGTATAGTTACCATCTGCCAAGCGACACACAGTTAGCCCACAATTGAGAATGCCGCATTGAAAACACTCATGGAGAGACATCTCAAGCAGACAAGCTACTTGAAAATAGTGCTTGCATGAACTAGTTGGTTTTTGAATCGTTAGGAGAGCTTTCAGCCAAATGCATTGACAGGGGCACAGGACGAAAGACAACCCACTACTGGACTTGTGTCATTGTCAGTGCATTTGCCTAGAAAGCCTCCTCATGACAGGCTACTGTAGTCCAAAACAGCTTGGGAACAGTTCAGCAAAAACATGCTGTGCTCGTCCAAAATGGTTAAGGAATTGAATGAAATTGAGCATTTCTACTTAGTGTCCCTCAAATTCTGCTAAACATTTAGAATATATTTTAAATAGAATGTACAGGCACAATAAAACACAACTTTACTGAAGTACTACAGAATATGATATTGTGTCTTCATTGCACGCTAACATAGCAAAGTGCATAAGCTCAGAAAAATTACCACGAAATGTGCACAAATATCCTCTCTTAAGAATGTGGAAATTTGTGCAGATCAGATCAGGTAGTTTACGCTTAGCTCCAGAATCTAGGGTACATGCTTCTGCAAAATTTGCTAGCAGCACATAGCTAAGTAAACTTATGAATGAACTGAGAGTGTTGTAAACATTCTTTCACATAATGAATACTTGCAGTGCTACCCAGCCGCCTCTGCCCAAGAAAGTTAAAAATAAAAAAAAGGGAGGAGAGATGTAACAATGAGACCAACAATAGTGTTTTCATGGCGATTAACTCGTGCGAACTGGTTAAATTACTTTGTTCGTGTCAATTACCTAAATAACAAAATTAATTGCTCAAATTAATAATGAGTTGTACAATGCCTAAGCTTGCTCATCAAAATATTCATTACATGGAAAAGCATTATATCAACTTGTTTCCAGCTCACATCATCTTTCCTAGTCATTTCTCCCCATTCTAATGTTGAGGGGGGGAAAAAAAACAAGGGGCATTCCCGAGTTTTTCACAGCAGCACTCCTCTAAAAAGGGTTTTACATAACTCTACTCAGTAGCTTACTTGCAACCACCATAGTGACGAAATGGCAGTATAGCTGTTGGGTGCTATTTGCATTCCTGCTTAGGCCAACAAGTACTCCAAAGCATTCCTTTTAGATCGCTAGAGCCACATGTCCTTCTGGTGTCACAATATTAACTAAAATCTGTTCAGTGACCTTTAGATAATCTAACAGTCAAGGGCTCAATGCCATCTTAACCTCAAGCCTTTTTTCAACAGCAACACAGTTCGTGTAATTGAAGCATCAGTACAGTTTGATCAATACATTGATATCAATACTTGATATCAACCTGCAAGCTACCACACCAAAAGCCACCAACCATCAAAAAAAAAAAAAAAAGCAGAAACTTACTCATCATACTGAACATGGTAAAGTAAACCATCATCTGCCATGGAACTTTTTGCAGATGCTCTTTGCAATTCCTTAGATGGTCTATCTGCTGCAGAGCATGAAGGCGAAGGCTGGGACTTTGCTGTTGGTTTTTGGCTTGATGCCTCTGTTGCACTCGCATGACCATTCACCAAATTAGTTTGTTCTCCAGTGTCTGGAGGTGTAGATGTCTCTGCTGCTTGGGTGATTTTGACTATTTTGGCTTCAAACCAAGCTCCATTTTCGGGATCCTGAGCATCCACCAGATCGCCTACCTGCGCGTCAGTATGTTTCAACATGACTACGAACAAAACTGTTGCATTTCTATTACAGAAGCAGGCACACTCATAGCGCATGGTAAGAAAATATTACACATAAGCACACACATCGCACTGAAACAATAACCTGGCTTCTAGTGCATTTTAAAATGCTTGCCTGTTTTCTGCTTCGTTGTGCCTTAAAGGAATGGTGCCACCAAATTTCTAGGCTAAAACAAGCCTCTTGTGGGTTTCCTCTGTATGCTAGGACACTCTACACAAATAAATAGGCACAGCAAACGTTTAGAATATATTTAAATTCACCTCCAAAATGTACCTAAATGCTCGTTCTCCTGATCGAAGCCCATCACAAGCGCGTCAAGAACTGTCGCAACTCTGTAGGAAGGGAATCGAAAGTTGCAGTGACATCACACCAGATCTGTAGTGAGCGTAGACTGGAGCAGGTTTCCTTTTCAGAGGGGACAAAGGTTCGTCGGGGACAAATGTTTGTCGCAGCGCACCCCTTTACTAATGTGTCAATGTGTCAATGTATGGGGCTGACTTTGCGCCCCCCCCCCCCAACTCACAGCACCCCCTACCAATTATGTCAGTGTGTGGAGCTGCGTTTGCGTCCCTGCTTACCAACCTCCTGTGCCCACGCCTATAGTAGTGAGGCGAGAAACCTCTGCAGACCTCGACTAAGTACACGTTTGTTTTGCAGGTGCTTGTGTGGCACGTATGTGCGAGATCAGACAATAATCAGTGTGACATGCATCGCATCACTCGACCAAGCCACCTACACTGCCATATCACAGCCCGATTCGGAGCCCAAAAAACGGAAATTGAAAATTATCCATTTAAAAAAGGAATATAATTTTTTTAGCAAGAATAAATTAATCTGGAGCTATAAGAAACACTCGTAGCAAAGAACGCGCAAGCCACAAATATGGTAGCGCCCCTCTTTTAATTTAAATTTTCTCACTTTCCTTATCACAGGTAGTTCCGTTCTGGCTTAACAGAGTGGTTGCGGTTCCTGCGCACTGGGCAGGATGAGTTTCAATATCGGACCTAAAATTCGATAATGAATACCTCCAACTACATGCTACGATCATGATTTCTAAAAAATGGGGGTGCCGTAAATTGTCATGCACATAACCTTCGTAATATAAATAATTTCCCTAAAGTAAATGAGTAAAAAATTAATTACCAACCTTTTATTAGTCAGTCACATCAGTGTCATTTTAGCGCAGGAAAAGCATCCTACTCGACATCGAGTTCACGTGCGAAAATTAAGAGAACCCGAGTGTAACAGAATATTTTAAATAATTTGATTTGTCTAAAAAATTACATTATCTCCCGCAAAACGGGAACCATGTGTAGATGAGAAGCAGCAGTCGCTAACCCTTACACTGGCGGCTACGATGCGCAAGAGAGAAACTTGGGGAGGTGCAAAGCAAGCAGTGATGGACCGGTCTTTTCTACTGTAACACACCAATCACTGCTAGTGGGCAATGAGAGACAGAAAGACTATGATTGGACACAAAAGCCCGCAGTCCGCTTTTAGTTACTGCGCATGCTGCAAATTTTTACTGTTCAACAACGCATAAAAGAAATATTCCATGGCAACTACTTCAGAGTTCAAGATCCGGTACCTATATATACGCGGTGGCGAGTGAATGGTTGTGCAGCGCCAGCAGTCAGTTTTTTCAATAAACAAACTTGCTAGTAGACGCTGCCTGCGTCAGTGGAGCGCGGCGAGAGATGGGTGAGCGAGGAGCGGAGATAGAGGGGAGGGGAAGCGCATGCGCAACAGGGGTGTAAATGCCGCAGGAAGGAATGCCTGGAGGAGTGAGAGGGGCAGCGAGCATAGGATAGCAGACGTCCCCTGCATCGGTGTTGCGAGGCGAGAGAGGGGGAGCGGACGCACATGTGGAGTAAGGGTGGTCACCCCGCACACCGGATTGAGCTCGACCCTAAGCTGCTTCACATCTAAAACACACATCCGTGTATGAACACCTTATTCCACACATAAAAACAGGTACAACATACAAGCACGCTTGTGTGCACGCACACACACACACACTCATTTCGTGCAGTTGAGAAAAACTAACACTGCACTATCAGCATCAAATGAAACCCGAATAGCCGCAAGTCTTCGCGATGGGATAGTGTGCGCCGTCCACTTATCACCGTGGACAGGCATGCACATATGCGCAGAGCTGCCGACCAGGATGCACACGTCTGTTAATGGTGATAACTGGACGGTGTGCACTGCATCTTCGCGAAAGCTTGCCGCTGTTTGGGTTTCATTTGATGCTGATAGTAGACTGTCTAAAACAAACACACTGACCTTGTAGTACTGGCTTTTTGTGGAGCCTGAAGATTTATCAGGAATGCCTGGTTCCTAGAGAACATAATAAAAGTTATTTTTCACTGTTTTATACATACTAGCCAATCAAAAAAAAAACTGAAACCATTCCCCCACATGGCAAATCAACCTTCTCAGTCATGAGACACTAATATCATTAACACCTCATCCAAATTACTCCTGCGTGAGCAGAAGCACTATTCTTTCAAATTTTTTATTTTTGTCAATGTAGTTGAGTAAATCTAGCAACATTTGTGATTCCAAATGCCATGAGAGAGATTGCAAAGAATTACGAGCTCGTTTATTACAAGAAGAAGGGTGTATTTATGAAGATACAGGACTGAAGAACATACGACTAGATAAACTGTGTTGGATCTTGATGAATGTATGATTGCTACATGCATAAATTAGGCATATACAGGCACAGGTAGTGGACTCACCTTGTGGCCTTTCAATACAAAATTTTCTGTCTACAACAAAAAAATGCTACAAAGTAAAGGAAAGGCCTCGAGAAAAACAAGAAGGTGTGCACACACCCTCAGGAAATGTGTAGGAAAACCTATAGAAGAGTGTTACATAAACCTAGTAATATAAGAGAGCCCACGTGTCACCCAGCCACTACCTATATCACTGACTTCAACTGTGTGTGGCAAGAGCTTCAAGTCACTTCCACAGCACTGACCACAACAAGTGACAGTACAACTGAGCAAAAATTACGGCATAGGCAACACCAAATAAAATGATGTACAGAGAATGGCATTATTTTTTCCATATGGCACTTGTCTTCAACAAAGGGACACTAAAGAGAAAAACTATTTTTTTATTATCCGTAAATTACACTTTCACGATTCCACAACCACCGTGCTTGTCGCGAGAAGACGCTTGATAAACAATAAGAACACAAAAAAAAAATGCAAGTAGCGATGCCAACATGAAAATCTTGCTCCAAACGATGTAACGTCATAAATTTTGACGGCACCTAATAGAGCCTACGTGGCTTCTAATCGAAGCCTCTCAGGGAGATACAGACTTCACATGCCAAGTCTCACGAAATTTCGTCTAGCCGATGTCGCCAAAATAGGACAAATACATATTGAAATCCATGACGTCATGCGTAGGGACTTCAACACAAAATTTAAAAATGGAACTTTGACTTGGTTTTTTTCTCATATTAATGAACCTATGATAGTGAAATAAATGACATTAAAATTATCAGAGAAAACTTCACCAATATAAATGAATTTATTGTTCTACTTAATGTCCCTTTAAGCATTGCTTGAAGCACTGTAGATACAATGAAACGGAGGGGAACACATGGCAGCAACACCTAATAGCTGACAGAAAAGTGCAGTGCGATTTGTTTAGAACTGACCTGTTTCATTGGACTGCAGTTCTTTTACGGGGCATCCGATTTTAATCGGGAGCCATGGTACCAATTTTAGGCACATCACCATTATTCTTAAAATATTGAATGCTTAAATGAAGTTTACGACTTCAAACTACTACAGTATGTACATGCCAATGCACTCTACATAAACCACGGCAGTAATGAAGTCCTATACGACATGATACTGGAGAGAAGACAAGCACCAGAAACGAGGACTTACTATGGTACATAAACAACCATCCACTAAGTACTAATGACCAAGTACTCTAGCTCCTGTCTTGAACAAATTCAAAAGCGTACATTGAAAATAATTAGCCGAGGTGAACCAGTAGGTAACATTTTCTGGTCACTGGCCACTATGGGTCCAAATATTCTTTGTATCTTTATTCTTTTCATACTAAATAAGCTAGAATGTCATATTTTATTCATGACTACACATGCATTTAAAAATAAAGTGAAGGAACTGTTACTTGCACAGACTTTGAGAGAATGACTATTGCAACACATGTGTGTGTGGGTATATATATGTGCGTGTGTGCATATATGTATATGTGTGTATGTACGTATACTACTGCATTCAGTGTGTCTGCTCGCTAACTGGATTCCGTGCCAATCGGTTGTGCCCTTGCGATCGACGTCAGCGTAGCTCTGGCCGACTGGGCTGGCCCTACGTCATCTCCTGATGACGATCTCCGACGAAAGCATAGCTCTGACCTACTGAACTTACCCTACGCCATCTCCTGAAGCCGACAAGAGCTCTCGCAAGTGGTTCCCTGTCCTCGGACTCCTGTGACCGTGTTTCCATCTTTCCTATCTCTCCTATCCTTCGATATGTCCTCGCTCGTTGTCCCAGCGCATCTCTCTCTCGCTGTATGCCTTTATTCCTATCCTTTTATTCCCTCCTCACCCCCATTCCTTGTGAGCTACTGTGGAGATGTCGCACCATGATGCAGACAGTTACGGGGCTCACTTTTCTCTTCTTTTCGCTCTTATAACCACTTCCCCCCCTTCAGTGTGTCTGATTATGTTTGACTGTGCTCTGTATAATTGTGCGCTGATATCAGCACTCTTTCTGTTATCTTATACCGCTATCTATTTAAAAAAATAGCACAATAACTATGTGAACCTACAAATGCAAAAGTCTTTGTGTTCCTATGCATTGTATATCAAATGCATAACGATTTTCTATATTTTTGTTTGCTGCCAATGAACTGCCATTATGTCATGTAATATAATGTTGTGACATGTTACGGGTACGGTGTCCCTGTCGGGCATTGCTCGCCTTTAGCTCCTATACCTTCCTTGAAGTTGTCAAAATCAAATAAAGATTATTATTATTATAATGCAGTTTGTGGCAAAACATTCAGGAAGGTCGAAAATTTAATAGCCTGCCCTGTTTTGTGATGTGCAATGCAAAAGACTATTTTAATAAGTAACAAAAACCATGAAATGCTATAATCACATTAAACTCGGACACTTTATCACAAAATCTTTTCACTGAACATATACCCTTCCGATGTTATTACACAACCTTTCATGCAAGGTTTGCCAGAAATATGCTCAACAATGTTGTTAAAAGTTAACGAGATACCCAAGATGTGTGCATGGCACTTCTACCAAGGTCCTAGTATTTTCAAGCGTCTGAAAGGCTAATGAATGAAGCCCAGTTGTTGCACTTCTGACATTTGTCATAGACTTTCACTCTTCCCCACTTAAGAAAAGAAAGCATTGCACAAAGCAACTGCGAGTTTCAGCTGCACCAAGTCCATCATACATTGGTAATATACAGGCCCTAGAAAAGCATACTTGCAAAGGTTCCTAGTGGTGCTTCTTGGCAGTACAGAGAAGCTATAAGTTAGCCTGCTATGCATTAGAAAATATTTGAATATTACATGATAGCTCACCTTCTGATTCTCTATGGGTGAAGTCGAAGAATTTGCAGATGCTGTTTCTGTTACATCAGGTGGAACAACCCTGACTAGCAGCTGAATAATATCATTCAATCCAACATCATAATCAAATAAAGTATATCCATCTTCCAGCTGAAACAGAGGTAGACGAATCATAGCAATGCAGCTTAAGATTACAAATGACCTTAGTGCCCACAATCAAGCACATGATTAAATGTAATAACTAACTCATGCTGTACTTCATACGAAGACACTCCTAATATGCTGCAAGTCGCATGTGTTATTTTAGAGCCAAGCAAAACCGTGGAATGCACAATACTATTTAAGTATAAGCAATCTCGCCTCAAGCAGTAATATGCAATTCATGAAATGCAATACACTGAGACTGCTGCCCTGAGATGCGCTTCATAATACAATTTAACGACATGGATAACAACGGTACATGTAGCTACGCATGACAAGATATTCCAAAAACAAAAGCCTTCAGCACCAAAACAAAAGGTAACGCTCGCTACAGAGGCACAATTCCTACATCTTGGTGTACCGTCCCATCGCCGAAGTCGTTGGCGGTTGCAATTCAGTATCTATGAAAACATTTTGACGGTGGTGGACTTTTTCTAGCTTGGACTGCAATCTTACTACTCAACCTGGTCTGCCATTCGAAAAAAATATTGCGAAAGGACCTTGCCCATCGGCAAACACATACAGATCCTACCCGCACAAGATTTAAGGAATTCACATACGCAGTGAAATATCAAATGCGAAACATGAGGCGCTATAATTAATCAAAGCGCACAGCTATTAGACATCTAAATCCCGGTTCCAGTTGCAGAGATTACTCACCTGCTTCCCTCGATAGAATAGCCTCTGCAAAGCTGTTTCAACGTCAAATTCTTCGCGAATACGAAGCCGCAAATCATCCACCTTTGTGATCTTCGAAAGGCCGTCAATGCGCACCGACTTGGCGCCGTCCATGGTCCGCACTTGGATCCACATCGTCGCAAATAGTGTTTCTGCTTGCTCGGCTCTAGAAAAGAAGCTACGTTAGTTACCCGAGTGACGGTGCCTTGAGAGGCGAGATGGAGGAAGAGAAAGACTCGGATCTCGCGGCGGCTGCTGTCAACTCGCGATTGCTCCCGAAGTGGCTGCTGTTTGAAGGTTTGCAAGATTTGGCGGGAAAAGCAAGCAACGCGACAGCGCTTTGGCTTGTGCTTCGAATGGATACAAGACAATGTTGGCTAGCCGGACGAGGTGGAATAACCAAGAGCAAGGGAAGCTGCAGCGCAAAGGTAGGCAAAGAGGGAAAAAAAAAAAAAATGTGTGACTACTCGTATTTGCAGGTTTACTTGGACACACACTTTCACGTTTGACAACAATATTTTTTGTACATGCTGTCCATAGTGTAAGAAACATCTTGTGTTTAAGAAAAGAAAGTAGAGATATTCAGGCATTCCTTTTCTGAATGATCGAGCGTTAGTTTGAACAAAATTAGGGTAATAAGTTCTGCAAGCTGTGTCGCATCAGTGCATCAGTGATGTTACGGAGGAAGGGAAATTTTTTCCTTTTCTTTCCTTCCTCCGTGAGTGATGTGCACTATATTTTGCTAGGCAGTGACTATGATGACGGGGCCTGTCAACGCAGTACTATCACAGAACACCTATCTACGGTACTATCGTCAGAGTGTCGGCGCCCGTCAATCATGGTGTAACGAAACAAAGGAGGTTTAAAAAATATTGCTGGAGCGGAAACTCTCGCCCCGAGTGAAGCCGTGCCAACTGTAAGATGGCGGCTGCGGCAGCCATCTTACTAGGGGCATAATGAGCTGTTGGTGTTCGGCGATTGCGAAGTAGCTTTTTCCTCGCACGCCCAACGAATTTAACGTGGCAACCTTTTAAGGTCAGATAGTGTTTAAAGTGCGTCCTTGTTTCACTAGTTTCCTTCAGTTAGCCTCAAATTAAAGGCAAATTTCAACGGAGATTAGGTCACTGACACTAGTCTCTGCGGATAATTTCTTCGAAAACAATTATCATTTATTAATAATTAACGTAGCCTTAAGACTAACAAATCAAATCCACTTGATGTGGAAGCGGGCACCACCAGAAAATAGCATGTTTCGGAAATCTTTGGAGGGCAAAAGCTGGCAATTCACAATTACTGGCAAAAAATTGCGGGAGCTTTCAATCCAGAATTTTTTTTTTAATCTTGAATGAAACATAGAGTTTCTCACAATCATATTTATGAGAAACTCTATGTAATGAAAGACACTAGTGACAATAGAGTTAATATATTAACTCTATGCTAGTGACGGGGCCTGTCCGACGGCCCCGTCATTGTAAAGCAATTAGAGGGGTCCCGTCACCGTAGTGCATATAGAGTTTCATACAATAATTATTATTGCATAAAATTCTATGCCATAGTGTAATGGTAAAAATGAGGGAGCCCGTTGCCATAAATATTTAGCCGTTTTAGACGCCTAGCTATTTTGGTGGCGTAGTTGGGCGCGTAGTTGAGGAAGCGGTTGTGACGCAGGTCGTCAGTTCCAAGTTCCTGTTTTAGAATATTTAACTTCTTTTTCCTTTTTTTTTTTCAAGTTAATGCTGCAAGAAAATCATGTCGCTGTCTGCGGCGGTTGTTAGACAGCCATACCATGTGGATTTCGTGTCGTTGGGGTCCGACCTCGGTGCAAATCGCTTTCTTTTTTTTTTTTCTTCTCTCAGTATTGTCTCTAGAATTGTTACTTATTTTTAAATGATAATAGTGTTCACTATCATTCATCTGGAATATAAATATTGACTTTCTTTTATGTACAACGTGCAATGAAGACCTTTGCCGATTATTTCCGATTGATACTGCGCTCGGCGAGCAGATTCCGTTGTATGCGTGTGAATTAATTCTCTTGAATGTGAAAAACCTGGAGTATATGGTGGCGATTTGCGGAGTATCAAACAGAGGATAGAGGTATATGAGGAGGAACGCTATCGCAGAGCGCTAGTGCGAGCCAGAGCAACATCAATGACTGTGGATGATCGCCCGACGAAGCGAGCGCTTGAATTAGAGAAGAGTCATGCCAGACGAAATCATATAGATGCAATTGAAGTCAGCGGTATCGAAGTTTCAGACAATGAGAGCATAGGACGAGCGTTTGGCAAACACTACGAAGGACTCTTCGCTGCCACGCCCATTGATTCAGAGGCATTTAAGCAGGAGTTCCTTAGCAGAATGCCGAAGTTGTCAGATAACACCAAATCAGCTTTAGAGCTATCCATAACGCCAACGGAAGCAGAAAGGGCTATAGATAAAATGAATCCTGGTAAATCTCCAGGGCCGGACGGGCTTAGTGCTTCGTTTTATAAGGAGTTCAAAAATGAATTATCCCAAGTACTTGCAGATGTCTTCAATCAAGCTTATAAACTTAATGGCCTCCCTAGGTCCTTTAGTGAAGCACGTACAGTTTTGATACCTAAGACAGAACACTCGGAGAAGTTAAAATTAGTTTATCGTATAGGACCGATATCACTAACCAATTGTGATTACAAAATTTTAATGAAAGTACTAGCACGGCGACTTTAAGGGGTAATCAAAGAATTGGTAGGGCCTCACCAAACATGCGGGATTATGGGACGCTCCATTGTGACTAATATACACAAGATGCGTTGCGTGCTCGAGTGTAGCGATGCCAATCAAGTAGGGGTAGCCATTCTACAGATTGATCTCGAGAAAGCTTTTGATTGTGTTTCCCACAACCTTCTGCTTGCCATTCTTGACCATGTCAACGTTTGTTTTGTAATCAGAAATGGAGTATCTATGGCATACCGGAACTGCACAACCCGACTGGTAATCAATAAGACGCTAGGAGATACAATTAACATAAAGCGTTCTGTCCGTCAGGGCTGTCCGCTGAGTCCCCTACTTTTCAGTTTATATATAGAATCGTTGTGCTTAGCAATAGCTCAAAACAGTTGCATTGGTGGCTTTAGATTACAAGAATCCGAAGTTAAATTTTGGCATATGCCGATGATGTGGCTGTTTGTTGTATCGATCAAGATAGTGTTACCACTACCATCAATGTGGTTAAAAGGTTTGTCAAGGCAACTGGCAGTCTAGTAAACGGGGGAAAGTGTCTGGGTTTCTGGCATGGAGAGTGGTCGTCAAAACCAGACTATTTTGCCAATGTTAAATGGGTGACCACACCTGCCAAGTACTTAGGGGTGCCACTGAAATTTTATAAAGATAATGAGAACTACTGGCAAGAACAAGCGAAAGAAATCCGGACGAAAGCTAATAGATGCAACGGTAATCATCTGTCAGTGTTTGCTAGGGTGACTGTCTGTAATCTTTTCTTTGCCTCAAAACTTTGGTATGTGATGCAAGTATTGCATTGTTCAAGGGCAAACGTACAGAAGTTCCATCGCATCTTCGCAGTGTTCGTGTGGGCTTCGAACTGGGAGAGATGCAGTCGAACTAATGTTTCGAAAAGTAAAACACGGAGGGCTTGGTTTAACACATCTTTTCATATGCCAAGTCGTAAATAGGTTCTTTTTTTTTTTTCGCTACACAAGGAACCCTTTCTTACGTACAGTGTGCCAAATGAGACTGATGCGGGCTTTACCTGGATATGTGGTTAGCACGAATGACATGACCGGTGCTGTGCGCGGGTATATTAAAGAGGTTATTCTAAGTGTACGGTTTTTATCTGTTAGATTTTCCAATGAATATTTGTTTTCAGTGTCTCGAAAGAAGTTGTACAAAGATGTATGCAATGTTGTTTTACCTGAACCGCTGTACCGTTCCATGTACGCTGGAGGTGAAGGGAAAGATGTGCTTAAACGAGTGAAGAGAATGGAAGTGGCTCCTGGCGGGAAGTCTTTCTTTTTTCAAGCTGCACACAGGTACATTATCAGTCAGGACATTTCAAGCAGACCGTGGTTTTTACTTACCTTGGGGGACAAATTGCCTTATCTGTAAAAAACCGGAAAATATTGACCATGTTTTCTTACATTGTTGGGAGGGAGTATATTTTTGGAATGTACTTCAAAGGACGTTACAGAAATAATTACCTTTAAATTCATATGGTATAAGATTTCTGCCAATAGTGGACAAAGAGGGAATGCCTTTTGATTTGATTATGCTATGTGGACTTCACTGTTTATGGCGGGCCCGTATGGCGGGTTTCTATCGCGATCAGGATGGACGGCCTGCATGAATGTACTTCCGTGAATGTATGGCCAAGTTTGTTAAACTGCAGAAAACTCAGAAGATTTTACCTGAGTGGTTGTCGCCCTTGGCAGCACTTAGGGAATTTTAAATTTCTGTCGGACTGTTACTGCTTGATTTTGTTCTGCTTGTGTTTTGATGTATGCGCCTATAAACAGACAATAAACCAAAAAAAAAAAACCAGCGTGGCTCAGTGGTAGAATAGTGGGTTGACACCCAGTGGACCCAGGTTCGAGCCTCGCTGTGTCTATGGTGCTAGGTTTTTTTTTTTTCTAAGTTTGCACGATGTGGTTACAGACACTGGCAGCGGCGGCGGCTTTCGCTGTAAAAAAGAATAAAGCATCAGCACACAGCTAGCAACAGACCAGCTGCAACTTGACTCAATGTGGAGAAGTGTGCTTTGGAACTATCCATCTGAGTTAATCGCTTGTCACCAGGTGACAATATGGCGTATTCAAAACTACGACACATCATGCCCATAGAAGTTATTTACAAAATTGTGGCAGCATAAAATTTCTTTAGACAGAATGCAAAAAAAGGAAATCTGATGACCAGTAGCATGATCTTAGCATTTCGAACTGGAATGTACCTCAAAGATTAAGACTTTGGGATGTGCAGAGCATTGCAGGGTAGGACACCTGAGGGAAGATGCTACTCAAAAAATGCCTTTTCCAAAAGTGCATGTTTTTTGTTTTTACTTGTTTTCACAAGATTAGTTTGCCTACTTTCAAGACAAAAAAATCAATAATGTAATTAAACATGAAGCAGGTTAAAATTGCTTTTAAAATGCACAAGGTGGCTATTAAAAACCAAAACGAGCTTATTGTCTAGAGTCCCTTAGAAATTGGCACCTGGCTTCTTGCCATTGAATTTTGCATGAGGAGTTCACCAAAGCCACATGCTCAAAATAACTATGATTCTAAAGCTCTTGTAATGGAAGCAATT